GTGCCCACAATGCCAGGAGGACGTTGATAAATGGCAGAGGGCTCAGAGCAGAGACATGAGATGATGAAAGGGTTAGAAACTTGCCTTGTAGTGACAGGGGCTCAGTCTGATTAGCTCCCCCACGAGCTGGCCCGGGGCGAGGGAGCCCAGCCTGTCCCTGCCCCACGGGAACAGATCGTGGGCGATGGGCTGTTGGCTCCGGCAGCGAAGGGGAACCCGGCCCTGGGGCTGGAAGCTGATGCCAGGCAGACAGGGAAAGAGGCGAGTTTGGACAGGGAGGGGAATTAACGCTGGGTCAGTTTCCAGAGGCCGCGGTGGGATCTCCAGGTCGGGCCATGGTTCTAAGGGAGTGGATGATGCTAACGGGGGCAGGGCTCAGGACAGTTAACACTTACAACACACCGTCGGCAGCCCTGGGGAAGGGGAGCCTAGGGTGACCAGACAGCAAATGTGAAAAATCGGGACAGGGAGTGGGGGTAATAGGAGCCTATATAAGAAAAAGACCCAAAAATCGGGACTGTCCCTATAAAATCGGGACATCTGGTCACCCTAGGGGAGCCCGGCTCAGGCTCGGTGCATTCCAAGGATCCCAGCCCCAGGGCCCTGCCCGTGGGTAACGGGGGTGGGGTGAGGAGAGGTAGGGAGCAGCCTGGGCCCCAGCTGGTGTGGGGGGACCCTCCAGCAGCCCTGGCCCTGCACCCAGCAGGGCTGCACTGGCCGGAGCAGGATGTGCCTTATCAAGCCCCCCATCTCCTAACAGCCTCTGCCCTGCTCAGCTCTTCTGGGCGCCCTCACCCCGGGTCACCCGGTGGCACCACAGCCAGCAGCGGTGGCAGGCTGGGCCCGCCGCAGAGAGGGAGTAAGTGCCCCACTTCCAGTGGCAGGAGAGATCCTGGGGGAAGGAACAAAGAGAACAGGCTGCCAGGCACTGCTCTGGAGAAGGATGGCTCCGGGTCCGGGCACTCGCCTAGGACTGACCTTTCGGTTTAGTTCCCGGCTCTACCCAAGGCCTTGCGTGGCTGGGAAAGCAGCTTAGGCCCACATCCTTGAGGCCGGGAAGTTTTTCTTTAAGCCAATGGAAGGCTCTGGGCTTCAGTCCCATCTGTCAGTGGGGATGATGCCCAGCCTGACCTCCCCCGGGGGCGTGAGGTTCGGTGCGTTGGAGCAGGAGGTACCCAGGTACCACGGCGATGAGGCCATAGAAGGACCTTCGATAGCGTCTGCACAGGTCCAGAGTGGCACAAAGCTCCAAGGCTGCTGTGGGCATCTCCCTGCCACGGCGTCGCTAACATCTTCCTGAGCCTGGGCAGATGGAGTGAATGCGCCTGCTGCAACCGGGAGGTGACTCCCTGGGCTCTCACTGCCCAGAACTAGCGGCTGGGCCCAGCTGTTTACAATTAGCCCTCGCTTTCCCCACTGGGTCTGTGCGGGCGTGAAAGTGAGCACAGGGCCTACATGGGGAGGGGAGGCTCATTCTCCCCTGGTAGCCTCCGGGTCCTGTACTTAGCGACTGACTGCTGGAAGATCCTCTCGTGTGGATGGGGTAGATGCCATAGGCAGGGCCTGCCGCTCCATTTCCTTTTGCCAGCTCAACGTCTGTCCTCTGACTCTCGGGTCGGCTGTGCTGGGGGGTAAGTTAAATGCTCTGCTCTGCACAGCCGTACCCAGGGCTGCTGTGTGTGTGTGCAACTCCCAGGCTGACACTGGGGCAGAAATTGCTCTGCTGGCCTATAGCTCGGCTGTAAGGAGACTTCATCGCTGTGGGCTGCCGGTGAGAATCCCTTAGGGCTTCTGCTCCTTGATAAGGAGAGTCTGGATTTGCACAGGGCCCTGCACAACTCAGTTCTCTAACCCAAGGCAGAAGTACCCACAGCCAAATTCACTCTTCCTGGCCTGCTCTAGGCCACAACAGCTGTGCTGAGCTCCCTGGAGCCGCGCTGTAACAAAGCGCAGGAAGGTGTTAGCAGGTCACCGCCAATGGAAACCACTGAACAGATGCTAAACAGTGGGCCAGTGTAATCCCTGGTGTAACTCCATTCAGTTAAAGGAGTTACTCAAGGGCTGAATTAGCCCTGTGTTTCTCTTCATCTCTGGGTTACCCAGTCTCACTTGCTAGTCTTTAAACTCCCTCGTGTGTGGGATGTTGCCATGTGTTTTAATGAAGCAATTAACCATTTGCTTTCCACTCACCCAGCCTGGCTGCCTTGTAGCAGGGAAGGGAGTTAAGATACTTGGACCAATCAAATCCCTCTTTGTGATTGTCCTTCCACATTCTGTCCACGCAGACCCTGTCTAACTCATTGCATTGTGAATGGTCAGGCCTAGTGCTGCCTTGCAGAGCCCAGGGTACTGCTCCCAAAGCCCAGAAGCAAAGGGAGAGCATGCTAACTGCAGGGCTCCAACAGGAGATGCCTGGGAGACAGGGACAGTTTTCAGGCAGCTGCATGTCCCCCTCACAACTCTGGACCCACTAAAGATAATACCTGCTAGGTGGAGCACCTCCTGGCTTAGCTGCTGGGGGGACAAGCCCTTCCCAACCCCACTGCAGTGCCTGGGGTGTGTGATGGAAGTTGCTCCTGTTCTGTAACACTAGAGTTTATCCTGAGGGGGGAAGAGCTCAGCAGTGAGAGGAGAGGGCATGACAAAGTCGCTTCCCAATCATACAAACCACACAACGCTCTCCTCCAAAGCAGCATTCCGAAGGGCTGTGAAGCAATGTTTGCTTTTGGAAAGGCCGGAAGCTTCTCTGATGCATTCTTCTGCCCCAGGCGATTTGATTTGGCCTGTCAGTGTTTTGTTTCCATTATTGACAGTGATTGTGAAATCCATGTATCCTTCCACTGCTCAGCTGTGAATATTCTAGACAGAGCAGTCTTGCATTTCTCTCCAGCAGGTGTGGATGTTATCTCTAAGCCTTGCTAATATCATGGCTGCTTCAACTGGTAATAGAACTGTGGCTTCCAAAAACCCCATTCATCTTGTATTTCGACAGCTCCTGATCTTATTCCCTTTGCCTGAGTGCAGCCAGAGCTGCTCTTTCTCTCCTGCCAATGGAACCCAGTATCTCCTGCCTCTGTCCTCTTCCATGGAGCTGTTTAGCCAGCTCCATCCATAGTGGTCAGCACTTTTCCTTCTTCCTCTCTGAATTCCATTCACAGCTACTCTCCTAATTGTCAAAACTTTCACAGGGCATTTTCTTTTACTGAAATAAAAAACTGCTGCCAGAAGACCTCTGTATTGCCCTTTTTAGACCACAAAAGCTTATGCTCAAATAAATGTGTTAGTCTCTAAGGTGCCCCAAGGACTCCTGTTCTTTTTGCGGATACAGACTAACACGGCTACCAGTCTGAAACCTGTCACTCCTGGACTGCATCACATTGGGCCCTGCTCCTGTTGTCAGATCTGTGAGGGCACAGGAGACTGCCTCTGTAGTTGGGGGCCTATTATTTGTTTGTAATTCTTCTTTCATCGTCCTACATGCTTGACTTAATCTTAAAAGGACAGGATGTCACTTGACTTTATGGGGGAAAAGTCAACTTTCAGTCTGCATTTCTCACATATCTGTCTTGTCTGCCATGAAGGGTGTGGGGAGGTGGTGTTAAATCATAGGCCTTGGCTACACTTGGCAATTAAGCGCGAGTGTAGTCGCGCCACCAGCGCTGTGAGAGGGGCGTTTTCACACCCCTGAGCACAGCAAGTTGCAACGCTGTACAGCGCCAGTGTAGCCAAGGCCATAGACATGCAGGGCTGGAAGGGGCCTCAAAAGGTCATCTAGGCCCTTCTGCCGCCCCGGGGCTGGCAAGCAGAACTAAACATTTAGTTACTACTGAGCATCCCATGTACGCTGAGACCAGTCTGATCCCAAGAGCAAGAAACTAAACCACAGGCAGCCTTCTGTTCTGGGTAAGAAATGACATTCCCTTCCCCCGCCTGCCTTTCGCTCGGCCGAGCCACACGTTCAGGGTCTCCCCTTTTAAAGCTCTCTGTGAACATTGGGTTAAAAGCGTTCACGGGAACCGGAGCTGGGGGGTGGCGGGGGACGGGCTGAGCTCGCAGCCACCTGCCCACTGTTGGCCTTGTCTCGGGGGCCTGGGCCAGTGCTTTCTCTAGGGCAGGGTGGTTAATGACCGGGCTGTGTCACATGCGGGTGCAGGGGCTGTGCAGCGCCGTGCGCGGGGCCTGGCCAAAGCCTGGAAGGGGCCCCCAGCCCCATTGCGGTGAGGGGGGGCTCTGGATTCTGCCCCACGCTGGGCGGGGCCAAGGGGCCCACGGGCGCTATCAGCAGGCAGAGCAAAGCCCATCGCCCCCACCCGCTGCCAAGAGCCCAGCCCCGGCGCACGGCCCCTTTAAGGCGCGGGGCGGCTCCGGGCGCGGAGCTCTCGCGGGGCTTGGCGGCCGCGCTCTCGCGAGGCCGGGGCTGAGCGCTGATTGGCTGCGGGGGGTTGAATGTAAGATGGCGCCCAGGGAGCTGTGAGGGGAAAAGAGTCGGGCCGAGGCGGTGGCGGAGCGAGGCGGCGGCGGGGCCAGGGTGAGGCGGGGCCGGCCCGGGCCGAGCTGCGGCGGAGCGGGCTTTGCCGGGCCGGGGGAGACGGGCTGTGGCGGCTGGGCCGGGCGGGGCCTCCCCTCACGCGGGGGGAGGCGGCGGCGGTTCCGGGGGCGGCGCGGCCCCGACGGGGAGGCGCGCGCCCGAGGAGTCCGGCGCGGGCCCGTTTGTTGTGTGGCGCTGCCGGGAGCGCGCAGCGAACCGAGGCCCCGTGGGCCCGCGCGAGGCCCGTTGGCCTCCCGTGAGAGGAGGGGCGCGTCCCCGCCCTCTCTTCGCCCCGGGCGCGTCCCCGTGTCCTTCCCCCCTCCCCCCTCCCAGCCGCGGGGCGGCCCCTTCCTGCGCCGCTGTTGCTCCCGGCCACGCGCACGGGGCCGCTCGCTCCCGGCGGCGGGGGCGCGCTCGTCTCCCTGCGGCTGGGGGGGCTCCCCGGGCAGGCTGCGGCCGGGCGCGGGAGTGTCCCGTCCCGTCCCGGGGGCGGGCGGCTGGTGCGGGGCCTGCTGCCGCCGCGGCGTGTCTCTGCTGGGCCGCTGCGCAGGACCCCCCCCGGGCCGGCCGGACCCCGGGAGCGCCGCCGAGCCTGGCCGAGGCGTCTGGTCACGGCTCCGCGAGGGGCTAGAGGTGCTGCGTGAGGGGCTGTCATGTCCTGCTCTGGCTGTCCCAGCATCTTACCCCGGGCCTGGGCCTGGTCACTTGTCCGGAGCTCTGGCTGACCCCGGGGCTGCTTTGGCCTGGAAGTTGTGTATCCACACCAGGAACTGCTACCGTGCAACTGGGCCAGCTCTCGCTTTTAAGGAACTTCAAGCGGAGATGTACAGTAGATCTTCAGACCAGGCCTTGTATATTCAGAGCCTTGTAAAAGCGCTAAGGCTCCTCTGTCCAGAAATCTCTATTTTAGAGACAAAGCAAAGGTCGTAGTTGCTTAAAAGTTGCTTATTTGCAGTGAAAACTGTTCACGAGATCAACCTTACTAAGCAATCTCCTGTCCTAGGAGACCTCTGCAAATTGAGTACAATCTTGCTGCTCATTTATTGGAAAACATCTCCAGTAAGCACCTGATGTGTCAGGCTCTTGAGTGGTCTCTTAAGAAAGTTTTGCTGCATTGCACAAAACCTTAGTATATTTTGTAAAGTGGGTGAGTGGTTAAGTAAAGTACTAGTCAAGTCTGTTTACAGTTTTGTTTGTTAGCTGCAGCAAGAGAAGCAGGTATTTTACATAGCTAAATTAAGAGGGTTTTAAAAAATCTTGAGGTGTAACCCACCATTTAACATGTGTATGGAGTTTAGCCTTCTTCCCCTTTAACACTGACCTTTTTTTTTTGTTAGTTTTTGTTATCTCCTCAGAGAGCCTTAATTGGACCACTGGTCCCCAGCTCTGCCTAGTTACTCTATTCTACCTTGAACACTTGTGAGGAGAAAGGAGCAAGAAAAGGCTTCTGGACCTTATGGCAATATTTTTTCCCCCACTGCTGCCTTGTTCTAAGTTTCAGTAACTCCAGTGTCCATTGACAAGTGTTATGTAAGTTCCAGCACAGATCTCTGTCTCAGAAGAACCTTCTGAACTGTACAAAAGATGTACATGGAGATCTGTTTGTTTTAATACATGTTCTTAAGATCTGGAAGTAAAATAAACTGGTTAGGAATTGGGCATGTCTTGTAATAATTAGTTAGGGACTATCTATTAAGGGTGTAGTATTATGATTATATTCATTTTGTGTTTTTAATTTTCTTAAGTCTCTCTTTTTAAAATACAATTTAACTAAAAAAAAAAAAAAAAAAAAACTAGGGGATAGAAAGGGCTTCTTTGTTCTGTCTTCTCCAGAATGTTACAAGTCTAAGAGCTCAGGACAAGTGCAGCAGAAATACCTGCAACATGGTGACTGGTGAGTCCAGATAGTCCACCTGCTGCAAATCTGTGTGTACATTTTCAGTATCTTTAGTCTAAGTTTTATGAACTAACCACTTATGCTCATGAACTTGAACTATTTTCCAGATCCTATTTAGTGGAAAATGCAATTAAGCTGAAAAGGGAGGAATTATATCCATGTATCCAAGCAGCAACCTTTGCTGAACAGTTAAAAAATGCGTTCTGCCAAGTTTTAGCAGTGATGAGTATTCACTTCATTTTGAAATGGACTATATATAATGGATAAACTGAGTGCATAAACTGATCCATCCTGATATTTTAATAGCTAATGGTAAAGGTGTTTGCCTGCCTGCCATTATAAATTTGCGTACGTTGTAGTATAAAATTTTTTTGCTGTTGAATGCAATACTAACTTTCCATAAAGAGAATATTAAGTGTGTGCTTGGAAACCTGTACAGGTTTTTATTTAAAAAATAAAAATCTATTTGTTGATGCTGAGTAATAAATATGCCTGAGGGAGGTGGTATGTTAGGTGGTCGGGGAGGGGGGAGGGGGGGGGGGCTTAGTCCTTTTTGTACTCTGTTTTTTAAACTTCTGCTCATTACAATGGAAAAAGAAGGCTTCAATACATGTTACCTTCCTGAATCTACAACCAGCACTAATACCTCTGCTATTGCTCATAGTTTTGCCAAGGGGAAGAAGAGTGAAACTAACAAGATCCTGATCAGTTTAACTACTGCAGTTCCATATTTCTGTAGGTAGCCTTGAAATTGACAAGAATTTGGTTAGGTCAGTTTAGCTCGTCTGCTGCTTAGAAAAACTGAGACTTGTTTTTAATTTCTCTATATAAATAAAAAGGGAGACTAGGAATGGAGCACTTGAGATTCCAGTCTGCCTCTTTCCCAATCTCTCAGAACATTGGGAGAGGTAGAATAGCAGAGACTCCCCTACTCTTTGGTGCAAGGACCATCTTTGTTCTGTTTGTACAGTGCCTAACATAAGGGGATCCTGGTCCATGACTAATGCTATGCACTCTGGATAATATGTATATTAGATAATACTCCGAAGGTGCTTAGATACCACAGTGATAAATGCAGTGTAAGAACTTAGTAGAACAGCTGTCAGGAGGCTCTGGGATTGGGAGGGAGAGGAAAAGGAAACTTCCTTGCAGTTGACTGTAGTGGAAGTAAAAGTGGGCTTCTGATTTCAGCTGACTACTAGTCAGAAGCTAATTGAGAGATTGAACACCTGAGTCAGGTCAAGGGACAGTAAGTAAGAATCCCAGCACTTGTTCTACTTCCTCAGCTGTTGGAAGTAATGGATGGCACCTTGGTTCTCAAGCCCCTAGACCTCAGTAGTGGTGGGTCCCTCCTTATTTTTTATCTGCCTGTACCTAATAGATCTAGATTTCTGGGCTGTGGGGTTTTTTTGCTTTTGGTTTTTAAGCTCTGCCACAGAGCAGTCAGCTGTATATGTGAAAACAGCTTCCAGCACGAGGATCAAGATTTTTCACAAGTAACTAGAGATTTTTTTGGGGGGGGGGTGGTTTTTGGGTGCCAACCTTGAGACATTTGAGAGGAGTCTCTCAAAATTGCTGAGCACCTGCCTTCTGACAGTTAGGCCCGTTTAATGCATCTCAAATTGGGCACCCAAAGTCACTATTCATGTCTGAAAATCTTAGTCAAGGTACTCAGGCCAAATATCTGCAAACTTCGGTAGGCTTAAATTCGAACCAAACACACACACACACACACACACACACACACACACACACAACGGAAAACGTAACAATTCTCTACTTACAAAGTATCATCCGT